TTTGTTCTGAAGACCGACATATCGTACTGCTGTTTGTCTGAAATGCTGGGCTTCCCTGGTGGCTCAGTGGTAAAGAATCTGCGTGCCAATGCGGGAGACACAGGTCCGATCCCTGCGTCAGGAAGACCCCCTGGAGAAAGCAGTGGCTACCCACTCCAGCATTCTTGCCTGGGAGGTCTCACGGACAGAGGAGCCTGGCGGGCTACAGTCTATGTGACAAAAGCGGGACACAACTTAGCAACTAAACCAAACCTGAAACGTTTAAAAAAAAAAAAACCTAATAGAAGAAACAAAAGAAATTCAAAGTGTGAAGATAAGATCCTACAACAGAGTATCTCACACTTCACTGGGTTAGAGGCTCATACTCCGCTGTTGAAGGCAGAGTGTATCACTTTAGGCAGTTGTCACTTTAGGCCCTGAAGAATATCCATGTGTGTTCATATAACTTCCTTCTTGCATATCTATATATATACACATTCATACATACATACGCACACACACACACAACATCTGTTCATACACATGAGCAGGATTTAGCTCTCAGGTTGACACCACACTTCCAGAAATTCTAGTCTGATAGGTCTGGGAAGGGGACCAGGGCACTACGTTTTTATCATTTGATTCTAGGGCAGGAGGCTCATTACCCACATCTTACAAGGCCTAGGTCTGACATTCTCTGGCCAATAAAATGACTGTGTGATAGCTACAAAGCTACAAAGGTTTTCAAGAAGCTGACCACTTTACCCTAAGGTGGGGACAGAAGGATACCCCTACGGATATCTCGGTCACAGAGGAGCTAAAGAGAGAGGTTCAGGAAGTATCAGAAACCATCAGAAACCCCCCTCACCTTTTTTTCACCTCCTGTTCTGCAAGTTTGCAAAATCTTCAGTGATTTTTTTTTTAACGCAAGACTGGCTGACAGAGAGCAGCTTTCTGAACAGAAATCTGCATGTCCTCTACATTCTCAGTCCCACACAGCTGAAGGCAACCCTGGCCGCATCCCAGGTCTCATTAGTTTGCAAGCTAGCAGAGAACAGTGAATGCATTCCCCAAGGGATTCTCGGCTGTCAGGATACAGCAGATTACCCAGCTGCCCCCAGAGAGCCTCCCAGCCCTACATTACAGCAGGAATATCATCTCCACTTGCTTCAGATGACCTCTGCAAACCAGTACTTAAGAACCTCTGATTTAGAATCAAAGCTTATTTCTGAAATGGAAAGAAGAGGTAGTGTTTGCATAAGACAGGCTGTGCAGCTTTCAGGAAGAGCCCTGGGTACAGGGGAGGAGGAATGGGTGAGAGGGGTGGAGGGCATGCTAGGGGAGCTGAACTGAGCTTTTGCTCAGAACTCACTAAGTACTAATGCACCTGCTGCATCATAATGCAAAATCAAGCTTGGCCAGTTGGCAGGGGACAGCATAAGATGCTTTATAGAACCTTCGGGAAATAAGACATGCATTCTTTATGTGATGGAGGAGAAAAACTAGCTTCAACGAAACGCAGTGACTTGGCCAGGAGTTCAGGCCAGCATCTCTACTTAACAAGTGCCAACTTGTGCAGTGCTTGCTTCTGTTTTTCCTACAAAGCCATATATCCCTTCTGTCACTGTGGCACTAAAAACTGCCATGCTACCCTACACATTTCAGATTTGAAGGAATGGAAGTCAATTATGATTTCATCATGATTTCCTCTTAGTATAAAATAGTGTCGAATCACAGTACTTCTCTAATCTTTGCTTTTACCATCTGAAAGGCCAAATGTTGCCCATGATGGTAGATGTGTGGGGATAAACAAAGATGTTCATGTGTGAATGCTGAATCACTTTACTTGTACATAAATCTTTGCAGTCCTATGGACTATATAGCCTGCCAGGTTCCTCTATCCGTGGACTTCTCCAGTCAAGAATAGTGGAGTGGGTTGCCATGCCCTCCTCCAGGGGAGTCTTTCTGCACAGGGATCATACCCATGTCTCTATGTCTCCTGCATTGGCAGGCAGGTTCTTTACCTCCAGTGCTACCTGGGAAGCCCTGAGAAATGTTCATACACATGGTAAAACACAATGGGTCCTTTAGGAGAGAAGCCTTAGCAAAGTTGTTAGAACCTGCTGGCACTGCTCATGTTGTGGTTTTTAAATATATGTGAGAAAATGGAAACTTAAAACAAAATCCTTCTTTCATATAGTTAGTACAAAAGTTAATTTTTATCCGCAAGACCGGGCTTAGAAAGGAGTCCCCTGCTACGAGTCCTGCTTATTCAATCACTTGACCCAAGATGAGTCTGATAAAATTAGAATCAGAACACAACACTTTCCATCACAGATCATCTGCTACTGAGGTTGAGGTCAAATCGCTCAAGCCATTCAATCAGGCTAATGAGAGGAAAAGAAATTGCAAGTGAACACAACAGCTCGTTTCTTTCAGAAATCTTGGCTTCCGCAACACTTCATCTGGAGCAGAGGCAAACTTGTTCTTTTCCTACCTAGGATTCAGTAAGCCCAGGAGAGAGCAGGAGAGGGAGGTTTCCCTCGTTGGATATGACTGTATGTAGGGTGATGGATAGTCCGCAGGGCAGATCGGGGCAGGGAGCTGTGGTTGACTATGGGAGACCCTGAGAAACTGAGATGGCAAGCTGCTGCTGAATTTTAAATCACTATTGACACATGCTTAGAGTGCAGGGATGTTTGACACATATATGGGGTATGGAATATAATAACTGTGATTTTTCAGGAGAGTAGATCTCTAACAAAAACCACCTCATAGAATAAGCTGTGCAGAATGATAACTGTCAGGTAGGCAACCATTCTCAGCAAACATTCTTTCATTTTATTAGTGTGGCAATTTATTTTCGTTACTATTAACCAAAGTTTGTGATGTAGTTTTTAAATATTCTGGGCTTCCCTGGTGGCTCAGCTGGTAAAGAATCTGCCTGCAATGCAGGAGACCTGGGTTGGGAAGATCGATCCCCTGGAGAAGGGAACGGCTACCCACTCCAGTATTCTTGCCTGGAGAATTCCGTGGACTGAATAGTCCATGGAGTCACAAAGAGTCGGACATGACTGAGCGACGTTCACGTCACTTCACTTTTAAATATTTTAGGATTACTCCTAGCATATTATCACTTGTGCCCCCATAAATACTGAAGTATAGAGAAGGATTGCCTCTCAGTAAGCGGCAACTCCAGGCAGACTGTCTAGGACAGCTCAGGAGCGGCAGTCAGCAGGAAGGGAGCTTGAGCCTGTGTGGTTGCACAGCTGGAGAAATGCCCTGCCTCTAACCTACACGTGTGCATTCCTTTGGGGTGATGTACAAAGACATGGAGGGGAGTAAGGGCTGACGGCTTCCTCTGACCCCCAGCCTACGCTGGCGCCTATAATAACTTAGTGACCATGGGCTAGGATTCCCCAGCCAGGGAGAACTGAGTCTGAAGCCTGGCCCTGCAGACAGTAGGTCTGCAACCTGAATGGGCAACTTAAGCTTTCTGAACTGCACAGTTCTTTGTAATGTAGTCTTCCTAGGAGTGCCTACTTGATAGGGTTGAACTGAAAAGAAAGGTCGTACACCTAAAGAGTAGGTTTAGCACAAACCCTGGCACACAGTAATAGCCTAACAAACAGTAGCTGAAAGAGGGAGGTGGAGTTGGCACAGGCGGCATCTTGCAGAACTCTGCTTAAACTCAAAGAAGGATGAGTGTGTTTCTTCGAAGCACTTGGGTCCTGACTGCACAGGAGACGAGGATCAAAATTGACTGATAGAGCAGGAAACCTCAGTACTGAACCATCTCTTGGGGATCCCTAAATAGTTCTGTCCTCCCACTGGACCACAGCAGCTTAACAAAGGGTACTTGGTACTTTGTGTAGCCAGCTTGCTTCAGTGGACAAGGGTCAGGTAAGAGGCAAGGAATACTACCCAGCCTTAAAACTCCTGACCTAGAACTTGTAACTTGAACAGGACCATTCACACAGAGGCTAACTTTCATTTGAAAGTAAACCATTTCTCCAGCAAACCAAGCAGGTCCCCTATGCCTCTTTGGGGACAACCATGCATGCATGCATGCATGCTAAGTCACTTCAGCGACCCTATGCGACCCCAGAGATGGCAGCCCACCAGGCTCCTCTGTCCCTGGGATTCTCCAAGCAAGAATATGGAGCGGGTTGCCACTTCCTTCCCCAATGCATGCATGCATGCTAAGTCGCTTCAGTCGTGTCCAACTCTGTGTGACCCTGTGGACAGCAGCCCACCAGGTTCCTCTGTCCATAGGATTCTCCAGGCAAGAATACTGGAGTGGGTTGCCATTTCCTCCTCCTGGGGACAACCATACACCCTAGCAAACCTTTTTTTACGAAACACAGCTTGGGAGTTACCTTTGTTTCATTAGGAACCCTCTGAATTCCTCAATGGGGAAAACGCTATAACACTTTTTGAAACTGTGTCTTAATGCAGCTTCCTTTATGTTGTTTACCCTCTTTCTCTCTATACCACTTTCTAAGACTGAATCATCACAGAGCAAATCTATGAAACATACTTTAAAAAAAAAGGAAAACAGAAGTCTGACATGATTATTATTAGTGAGATAAAACAAGGAAAGAGAAGAGTAAGCAGAGGGGGGGAAATCCCATTACTTGTGATAATCTGCATTGTTCTCAAACATTTCTGACCCCAAACACCTCACAAATTCATATTAAGTCAACCAGCTCAACAGGCTGCTCAGGCCCAGCACAGACAACCAGTATCATCTCTAAGAAGCATCTAAAAGAGGTAGAATCAGTGCAAGAGAACAGTCTGAAGCAAACCAGAGCCTGGATCATCAGTCATGCCCTGGTTTCTTCTTGCTTTCTCTGCACTAGTTATCTCACTCTCCTTTCCTCACCTGCTAACAGGTAACTAGGGAGCTTCTTCTAGATACCTGATTTTGGATTTTATGTATATATATATTTTTTAGATTATATTTTTAAAGGAACACAATATGTAAGATATGTCATAAACCAACAACAGTAATAACATACAAGTTACATGTAAGTACAGGACGGCGCTGTCAGACCCCAGACTGTTGTCCACCTGCACGGTCACTCGGAAAATGCCCACATTGTGATAGACGTGTTTGATTCCATCTTCCATGGAGCTGAGGTTGACATAAGACACTGCGATGCCATCCCCGAAGTCCACCTGGATGAGTGTCCTCTGGACGTCACCCTGAAAGACAACACCAGAGGAAGGGGGGTCAGCACGTGGCTGCTGCGTCTCCAGGTCCGGAGCTTATCAGAGCCCCAGGCCCAGGGATACGGCAGCCTTGGTTCCATCCTGGGAGCCTGTGTCTGTGTGATGGGATCGCTGTGACATTCCCTGGAAGACAGGAGTCTACTAAGATGGATACTCTCCAAATCTGAAAGGCACCAACTCCCAAAAGTTCTAAGGTTTGGAAAATTGTTTGATTATCAGCTACAATTTGATATTCATTTCCTCTGAAGGCTTTGTTTACAGTCTGATCATCCACATGAATAAAAGGTTTCCACATACTGTTTTAAAAATTCAGCCTACCTGACACTGTCAAGGGTCACTTCCCATGTGTTCAGGATCCCCAAATTTCTGTCTTTATTTCCGGTTCCCTAACTGTGTTGGAGGAAGGACAGGGGGCACCTTGCCTTACACCTTACATGACACTGGACTCAGCCCTATTATTATTGATATTTAAGATAATGATGGCTAATTCTTTTATACTTTAGTGTTTTATACTATCAAAATGATCTCACTTTTTTTTTTATGGAATCTCAGTCTGGAGAAAAAAAGCAGGCAATGTTTGTTCACTTTACAGATGAGGAAGCTGAAGTGAAAGAAGGTTTAACCATTTGTTCAAGGTTACTACAGCTAGTTAGCTGCAGCAGTCTTGGGACTTGAACGCATCTCCTTGGACTTGCATTTCACTCCCTATAGGCAGGGTAAGCATTGACAGCTCCTCTGGGCTCAAATCCAGTCATTTCATTAACCAGCTGGATGACTGCATGTATGTCAAGCAGTCTCCTTTGGTCTCAGTTACCTAATCTGTGAAATGGGCATATTAGTATCTTCCTATCTTAACTCAAAGAGTTATTATAGAAGACATGTGAGTAATCAGTAACCTGTACAATTTGATACCAAAATGAATGACTGTAAAAACAATGCAGCTATGAAAGATCTGTTATATCCTTTTTTTTTTTTTTTTGCTATATCCCTTTTAAAGCTTGACTGGAGTCATATGATTCTAAATTTCCCACAAGTAGGCAGCAGAAGATAAAGTCTGCTTTATAAAAATCCCAGACCTGCTAAAAAAATAGCTTGTGGAATTAGTTGAGATTCTTAAAGAACAAAGTTTCTTAGAAAAACTGACAACACCCAGCATCCCTCACAGAGAACTCATCCTTTAACAAGTTGTGTGTGTGTGTGTGTGTGTGTGTGTGTGTGTGTGTCTGTTTTGTTAGCTTTATCCATTTGAGGCAGGGTGGGGGAAGAAAACAAAAAACCTTTGAACTGGAAATGTATTTTCAATTAAGTAAGGTTCATACGGTATCATATTTTTTGAAAAGGGCAAGCTTAAAATGCTGACATTTAAAAGATTAATTCACAGGGAAAGGAAAAGCAGTTCAAATCCTATGAATCTGTGTGACCTACTCTTCCGATCTGTGCCCAGCCAAGCACTGTATTAGGGCGCACACAGCAGCTAACTCTCTGTAAGGACATGGGCACAAATTCTCCCCTATGGTGGGAAAAAAGAAACTCCATTCAAAATTACAAAACAGATAACCACAAGCCCAGACATTGTACAATTACCTGAATTCCCTTCACTAATAAATACAAATGTCAGCCACGCTTGCTGACTTGTCCTTCACTTAGACAACCAAGTTGGACTGCCCAATTTCTCATTCCGCTTCTGGTCAGTTTCCTCCAGTGTTTTCTGGATTTTCAACAGAGTTGCTGCTAGCCAACCCTAGGTTTGGGCGTGGAGGCAGAACCCACATTAAAATCTACTACATTTTTGCGGGGAATACTGTCTCAGGGAAATACCAGAAGTATCTAGGGTTAACCAGATTATCTATGGAATAAAACTAGCAATATGGTTTCTGAGAAAGAAAGAGGTTGAGAGACAGAGAGAGAAAGAAAGGTACAGGGTTCTTTCTGGAGATGAGAGTGGCCATCAAGTAGGGTTACCATCTGCAAAAAGACAGGAGGGAGATTCGTGTCTCTGCTGATTCCACTTCAGTACCTGCAGAGAGAGAGCAGCTACACATATGACTGGGGCAAGTACAGCTTCGGCTGTCTCAGATGGAGTCTGCCTTGCCTCGGTCTCTCTGTCTGGGGTCCATCACTCTCCTGTGGACCTAGACTTAGACCTCTTGTCAGTGACTTGAAACTCCTCCCAAGTTCTGCCTGGATGTCTACTGTCTGACANTGAACTGAACTGAACAAGGATGGAGATACAGATATATAGATATAAGTATATTTGGTTACCACACATCTGAGAGCCCCTGTGGATAAAGACATAGGATCCCTCAATCAAATGTGAAGTCCCCAAGGCCTTATGAAGTGGGTGGGTGCAGATTCCTTAGCACTTTGCAATATGTGACAAGAGAATCCAGGGGCCAAGTCTGACAGGCGATTCACCCCTGTTGTTGCTGTTTTGCCCACTTGGGTCAAGCACACTGGATCTCGTGCTTTCAGGGGCTCTCAGGTGCTTGGGAAACCTAACACAGCTGTAGCTGCATCACTTTGGGGCTTACTGCCATCAACCTCTAACTTTCTTGGGCTGCTATTACCATCTCAGGCAGGGATACCAATTCCTTTCAGAGAACAAGAAACAGGGCAAAGAAAAGAATGCCGAAGTCCTAGGTCACCATTTGATTAGCCATGCCTGCCTCACTTTAGTAGGCTTTCTGGTCATTCATTCACTCAGTCAGCTGACAGACACTTTTAGGTGTCTTTCTTGTGTCAGACTCTAAATGGGGAAAATTATGTTAAGATATTTTAATCAACCAAACAAAACAGATGTGGTCCACACTTTCTTGAGCAAAGAGACTGCTAGTGAGACAAGTAGACTTCAATAATTATGCAAATAAAAATTTATTCTAGGGGATGATGTGAAAGAGAAATCCATGGTGCTATAAGCTTGTTTAGTAGGGAGAGGTAGAGAGTTGAAAATCTGACCCAAATGAGAACTTCAAGAAAGGCTACCCAGAAGAAGTGATATCTGAGCTGAGAAGGCCTAAGGAAAAGAAATTAACCAAACAAAGGACACAAGAAGCTGATATGGAGGTGAGGAGTCCAGGCAATGGACAGAAGGAACCAGATGTGCAAGGGCCCTGTGGCAGAAGATGGTGGTACAGTTAAAGGAAGCTGATGATACACACAGAGTAGGAACATGTGAAATTAGACTGGATGGGAGACAATGACATTTCAGGACTTGTGGGCCAAGTTTCTGACTTCAGTATTTCTCTTAAGAGCAATGGGAAGACCTCAAAGTGATTGAGGTAAAAGTTTGAGGGAAGATGACAGGATAATATTTTTAATTCAAAAAGATCACTCTGGCTACAATATGGAGAATGCATTGGAAGGAGGCCCGGGTATTCCAGGAAGCCAATTAGGGGACAGTTCAAGGTAGATGATAGGCAGATTGATATATGAGTTGCAACAGGAAATTGCATTCACCTTCCTGCCAAAATTAATTCCCATAGTTTACTGGTTTTGAAATCAGTGAATCTCAGTCTTTGATAACAACACCTCTTATAGAAATTAAAAGAAAAAAAATCTGATGCCCAGTTCACATCCAAGCCCATCTCCTGGTTTGGGGCCTTTGGGGAGGATGCTCGGTCCTGCTGTGGCCTGAGAAGGTCCCCAGCTGATGCCGGGCTGCACCAAAGGTTGAGGAACATTGGTCAGACTGTTGAACATTATTTTTTCTTGTGACTGAATTCATCTGAAGATGAATATAGTACAGCACAAGCTGATGCCATTGCTATCACACCTTGGCATAATGATCAAAGTTTCCCAGTACGTTTTAGAATTCTTAGTGCTAAGGGTGAGCTAACAGAGTTAGGAATGGAAGAACTAAACTCATGGTTAGTGACTGATGCACAATCACAAAAAGTTCCACAATACACTCAGTCAAGGTTAGTTCTCCAGGAAAACAAGTGGCTGGATAATATGAGGGTAGTTTGTATGAAGAGCTGAGATGTGTCCTTCAGGTCTGGCTGCAGTCTCAGGATCTAACACAGATGATTTTTTTCCGTTCAGTAAATTTTGAAGTTTTACAAAAGCAAAAAAAATTGAACACTGGACATTTCTAACTTGTTTGTTTGGCTGTTGGGACTCTGGGAGATAGCTAGGGCAGATGCTATTTCTATCTGTGACACCAGGAGACGAGCATGGACAGGTTAAATGAGATGCCAGACGTCCCGCAGCTGGTGAGAGGCTCAAAACAGGCCTAAGATGACCTGTGGTTTAACTTATCTCTGCAAAACAGTCTTTCAGGAGTTTCTTTAATTGGAATTTATTTGTGATGCCTTTCAGAGAGAGAGAGGTGATAACAAAGGCAAGCTTCACTTTCTTTTCTTGTTAGATTCTATTCCTAGCATTGACCATTTCCCCCTCTGACAATATTTTTGCTTATAAGTGGAAAGATGGGTTGTCGTGAACTCCATACACCATCCTTATGTCTTCCCTCTGATGAAGCAATGTCATGTTCAAGCTGTAAAGAAGACAGATAATGTGGGAAACAATAGGCATTCATAAACCACAATCACAAAAAACTAGCTAAACTGATCACATGGAGGACAGCCTTGTCCAGCTCAATGCAATTATGAGCCATGCCATGTAGGGTCACCCAAGATGAATGGGTCATGGTGGAGAGTTCTGACAAAACGTGGTCCACTAGAGAAAGGAATAGCAAATACTTCAGTATTCTTGCCTTAAGAACCCCATTGTATAAAAAGGAAAAAAGAAAGGACACTGAAAGATGAACTTCCCAGGTCGGTAGGTGCCCAAAATGCTACTGGAGAAGAGTAGAGAAATAACTGCAGAAAGAATGAACATACAGAGCCAAAGCCAAAATAACGCCCAGTTGTGTATGTGACTGGTGATGGAAGTAAAGTCCAATGCTGTAAAGAACAATATTGCATTGAAACCTGGAATGTTAGGTCCATGTAAAAGTCACTCATTCATGTCCA